ATATATTCTTTAGAGTATAGTCTCGTTTTATCATTAAACATTTTATCATTAAGATTGCTTGATTTTGGCAGGTCATCGTCGCCTAAAAGAATATATTCTTTAGAGTATAGTCTTATTTTGTCAGTGAACATTTTATCATTAAGATTGCTTGATTTTGAGAGGTCATCGCATAAAAGAATATACTCTTTACAAGTGCAGATAAATGAATACTTTTTTAAAAATTTTGGCGGATATTTGTCGAGAATTTCAGCGATATCGATTCATATTTCGGGATTCTAAGTAATTCTAATACATTGCAATTTGATCGCGCTGTGATTCAACTGTGCTGTAATTCAATTACACTCATAGTTACGATAATTAATTAAAAAGTTTGAATTATATAATTTAATTACGATGTAAATGAATTACTGTGTTATCGAAGCGCAACATAATTGAATTACGATGCAATTCATTTGGCACAATTGTGGCGTTAGATTGGGATTGTTGGATTCCGTGTATAATAATAATACTATAATTTCTGAGGTTTGTTTTATTGCTTTCATGGCGGATGTCAAACAAACACTTGACTTTAATTTTACAAAAATATTGATATAAATAAATAAATAAATGAAAGTATCTATTAACGCCAACCAACCGTATCGAAATATTGTACATAATGAATCGATCATTGTAATTCATATGATACGAATTGTTATAATTTAAATGATAATTTAAATAATTTGAAACAAGTAGATTTACATAATTATATCTCTGTCATAATTAATTCATATTAATATTAATTAATATAATTAATATTATAATACATATTAATATTATAATTAATATAATATATATAATTAATATTAATTCTGACAAGAAATAAATAAATAAAAAGAAAATATCTATCAACACCAGGACAATCGTGTTGGAATGATCTACGTAATGAATCGATCATTATAATTCATATGATACGAATTATTATAATTTAAATAATTTAAAACAAGTAGATTTATACAATTATGTCTCTGTCATAATTAATTAATATTATAATATATATAATATATATTAATATTATAATTAATATAACATATATATAATTAATATCAATTAATATTAATTTTGACAAGAAATAAATAAATAAATGAAACACTAGAACAATCGTATCGGAATATTCTACGTAATGAATCGATCATTATAACTCGTATGATACGAATCATATAGCAATAAAATAAACCTCAGAAATTATAGTATTATTATTATATAATTTAAATAATTTAAAACAAGTAGATTTTATGGAACAATTATGTCTCTGTCCAAACGAAAATTAATATTAATTTTGACAAGAATACTCAAAATCAGCAGTTGTGAAAAACTGAAATTATCGATTGTCGTAAGGTCAAGGTAATAAAATTGTACAATTATTCGTAAAAACCTTTATAATGATAGTCTTGGTGGTGTTTACATGAATAATACTTCTTCACGCAAGTGCTGTTTCAAACATCTCGTTGGGCAAGTGTCGAAAGTTGCACAGGATTGTTTGCAGAGAATTATATATACAGGAAAACTGCTATGCAAGAACTGTTATTATACAAGGACTGACTGACAATGCTGCAAGTTGTGTCTTTATATTTTGGTTTATTCGCTGAACAGATGGAGAGGAGAGAGACGTAGATAATCTTGTGCCGAACCGTTTATGAATAAGGTCACTTTGAAGAGAGTATATATAATTATTGTATATATTATATAATAATTTAATATTATTTATAATAAGGATAGTGTGTATAATATATATATATATATAATTATTGTATATATTATATAATAATTTAATATTATTTATAATAAGGATAGCTATTAACTCAGAATCAGTCTTAGCACCGAGCCAGCGTAAGAAGAATCGATAAGAATTTAAGCGAGCACTTGGAATTCTCATGTATCTGAATACAGACAAAAATTTGAAGATCGAAATTCTTGAAAATGTTCTTGATAAATTGCGCTTTCGTAAGTCGTAAAGTCTTCGAGGGATTTTTTGGGGGTTTTGGATCGACTTCGTGGGGATTTTTTTCTAAGGAAACCATGATACATTTTGGTATGCAGTTTTCGCACACGGATTTATTCATAAAGAGTATTCTTAAAGAGTATTTACGATTTTTTTTTTAACGAAATTAATGAAAGTTGTGAAAATTATATAGCCCTAAGTAAAGCATGTTTTTAAAAACGGGTTCGAATGAGTGATTCCGGTCCATCTGGTTATTTGAAACTAAAGACCAAAATGCATCTTAATTAGTATAAATATGGCTGTCGCGTGAATCTCGGAAACAGCGAAATTTCGAAAATTAAAAAAATGGCAGCATTTCGAAGTTAAAATATTAATTTTCTTTGTGCTTTTCGTCTTTTGAGTGGTAAGAAAAAATAAAAGAAAACATCAGATTTTGAAATGTGATTGTGATTTATGCGATGAAGGTACATCCTCCAATATTTAAGTCAATCGGTCAACTAAAACGTGAGATATCCCGTCAGCCAATTTAAAAAATATGGATTTGAAAAAAACACATTTAAACTTACCTGTTGTACAAAAATATTCATACTTGCAATAATAAATAATATAAAATAAAAATATTATAAAATAATAGTGTAATATAATAATATAAAATATTATAAAATAATAGTGTATTAATATAAAAATAAAATATTATAAAATTATATAAAATAATAGTGTAATAATATAAAAATAAAATATTATAAAATTATATAAAATAATAGTGTAATAATATAAAAATAAAATATTATAAAATAATATAACATAATAGTGTAATAATATAAAAATAAAATATTATAAAATAATATAAAATAATAGTGTAATAATATAAAAATAAAATATTATAAAATAATATAAAATAATAGTGTAATAATATAAAAATAAAATGTTATAAAATATAAAATAATAATATAAAAATAAATAATAATATTATAAAATAAAATATTTCTTGAGAAAAACACATTTGAAGTTTTTGTTTACCCGTTGTATAAAAATATTCATACTTACGTTGCGAGTAGTACACCGTTTCCTTTAAATATCTATAACTTTGCTAATTTTATGAATTCGAACAAATCCTCTTACATAGGCATTCTCGAAAGCACATACTCTGAGAGAATGTAAAAAAGAAATTGATTTTGTTTTAAGCCGGATTACCAGAATGCCTCCTTAATACTGGGGTCAACAGCACGATCAAAATGGCCATCAATATTTTATCAACTACGTGCTCGTCTACGAGGAAACTACTTGCAGGATTGTGGCTCCCTCGAAACCATTCTTCGTTTCTTATCTGAACTACTTTTTTTGTAGATTGTTCACATTTGCATTTACAGATTAAAACCGGTCGCCCTGTACGTACAGGGTGTCCAAACGATCAAAATGGAAAAAAATATGTTATTGAAAGTATTATTAAAGAGACGTGCAAAATGTGTATTATTGTTATTTAATAATAGTCAGAAAGTATTATACTTTCACGTTATTTTTCTGAGTACAAGAACAACGGCGATAAAAATTGATTATTCTTTGAAATTCACTTTGCGATTTTGCGTTAATTCAGCGAGTGAATAATTCATTTTTCAGGTTAGTTCGTCGCGTAATTCATATCTTTTCTCTCAGAATCTTCCGTAGAAACGTCAATGTTTCAAGAATTGAGATCATATATCGTTTTTTTTTTTATTATTTTGCATTTTCTCTAATTATATTATATTCACTTATTTTTTATTTATTTATTATATTCATTTTTTCTATTATAATTCTTTAACAATGCTTTCAGCGATATACAGAATATATCGACAACGTTTGATTGAAAAAAAACTGTAAAAGCTTGTGCTTTCCTACTTTAATTTTTTCCACATTTCAATTGCCAGTAATTTCGGTGTTAGAGTTTTGAAAGTTTCAATCGTCTTGAGAACGTTCAGATTTCTGAAAAAATATGTCGTTCATCAAAATTTCATAAAATCGCTATCGCTAAATATTCGAGATCTATCGAAAAGTTCAAGATCTGGCGAGAGTTCTCACGAGTTCCGAGCATCGTGTCGTCTTCAAAATAATGCAGAAAAATGTAGACAATGTAGACAAGAAGCGATTCCAAGTGTCTCGGATCCTATCAGTAGTTACAACCGATGCTCGTGTAATCTCGCCCGGCAAATGGGAAAAGCTTGAAGGAGCTGATGCAAGCGGGGAGTATATTTTAAACGCAACGACGCGGAAGAAAATTACACGAGCTTCCGGTATTACTGCGACACTCGCGTTCAACATAAAGAAAAACTTCGAACGACCATCCTCGCGACGTAAAGCGTGAACTTTAAACAGCCTCGTGAAGATTTTTCATGTAAGCGTTCGTGATGCAATGGACGGGTAATTGTTTTATAATTGTTTCACGGAAGATCGGCGTTCGTTTGAAAATCTAACGAGCAAAATTCGACGCTTCGTTTTGGATAGAATGGAACTTGAAAACTTCAAAATTTCAAGCGCTTTAGTTCCCATTTTCTTCGAATCGGATTTGTTTCATTTACTCGTGCTTTTCGTTCGTAAATATAAATTCAAATTCTTCTGAAAGAAGATATTAGGATTGTTATATATATTTAAATTAAACGTATTAAACGAAAGGAGATATTAGGGTTGTTGTATATTTAAATTAAACGTATAAATTAAACAATTATAACTCTTGGAAGCTGCGTGGTGTTTATTTATCTTTATCTTTTGTTTATTTAAATCCCTCGGAACAAAGAGATTATTGTTCGGAGAGATAGATTATTATATAATTAATAGAATGTGAATTCTTGCATTTGAAATTGTTATAAACAAATCGTATGGATAAAGAAAATAATAAAAGAGAAGAGTACAGATATGATAATGTAAATACATAGAAATGAAATAAACGTGCACGTACGTATAATCGTGTTGGCACCTCGAGGATTAAAATTCGAATATATTTTTTTTAATTCGGAGATTTTTTTAACACGATCGATCTTTTATGTTTCAGATTTATCCCAGTTTGAAAGAAGAGGGATCCGTGTTAGGTGGCGCCACGCAAAGAGTGACGAGGTAAATACATGTAAATATTATAATTAGTAGATAATCACATATTTTAATATTATAATTACATAGTAGATAATCACATATTTTAATATTATAATTACATAGTAGATAATCACATATTTTAATATTATAATTACATAGTAGATAATCACAAATTTTAATATTATAATTAAATGGTAGATAACCACATATTTTAATATTATAATTTTAATATTATAATTTATAGTAGATGATCACATATTTTAATATTATAATTACACATTGGTGATTCAATAATTATTATATTGACTGTAATCTTAGATACTAAATACTTATCAACATTTAGTTGTACAAAATTTAACAAGCTCACTTAGTTCTTTGTTTCTTTATTTCGTGTTATGACAGTAACAATACAAATATAAGACCATTTTATTGAAATTTGAATAGAGATTAGAATTTATAGGAAATTTTCAGCTAGAACAGTGCTCTTTCTCAATCTACTGTCTATGGGGATTATATTGATAAATATAACTTATATTATATTTGACAATTTTATATTTAAAATTATATTATATTATATATTATACAATTATATTATATATTATATAATTATATTATATTTAAAATTATAATATATAATATATAATTATAATATATATATTATATTATATATTATATTATATAATTATAAAATATTATATATCATATAATTATATTTAAAATTATATTATATAATTATATTATATTTAAAATTATATTGTATTGTATATTATATTACATATTATATTATATTTAAAATTCATCGCGAAGAATTAAACAAAGCGGTCTTTTAGAATTGCTTACCTTTTAGCAAAAAAATATTTCTGAGAGTGAAAGACTTTGTACAAAAATGAATCAGATACAGGACATCTAATACCGATAATCTAAATTTTTTAACAATTTCAAATTGTACGAACAATAATAATAATAATTACTTAATACTTTTGTTACTTTAAATGGCGGTCGTAAATGGTGTTGACTTTACTCATGCAGAGTGGTCCAATAAGAATTAGCATTTGAATATCTCTGGAGACATGAAAAAAAAAACTTGGTCAAGTTATTAAACATACAAGGATACTATCATACGACGGTAACAACCTTTTCATAGTTTAAGGAATCTCGGAGATTTCGAAGTTGATTCATTTCCTCTTTGAAAGGATTGTGTACATTTTTTTCGTCCATCAATCGCCGTCACCTCAACGTCCTCTCTCTGCGCTGGAAAGCTGAAGCTTGCAGCAACTTTGATACAAGGTTCATTCACGCACTTGGATAAATTATTCCCGTGCCACCACGACTGATTCGATTCAAGCGAAATGTTGCAAGACACGCCCTCTTTTGATTTAACGCCGCTGCATCGAGTCGCTGTTGCGCTCGCGCGCACGTGCATACAGTTTAATAAATACCGCCGTACGCTTGGCGCAATTAAGTAAACCGGTGGCTTGTTCGGCGAAGGTTTATCGGCGCCGCGTAACACGGTTTAAGTGTCCGTTTTTAAGAGCCAGCCCGTTGGAAAGTTGCCCGCGCCGGGGACTAGAATCGCGCCCGGGCTGTTAATAACGCGCGCGACGTACGAGCCCGAGATAATAAGAGTCCTGAATAGCTCGGCTCGTTGTCCATTAATTCCGCGCTTTTATTCCCCTTTCGGCTCGTGTTTTACCAAACGACTGCGAGCCAGTTACCTACCCCTCCTCCAGGTAAATACCCGTTCGTTGAATTTTTATCAAATTACTCGTCCCCTCACACCAACTGGTACAATAGTATACATTGAGTCACAGAAACTACTCGTACGCTTCCTATTGTTGACTTTGAACGATTGCTATTTATTTATAAAATTCTTATAATGGTCATTGTATATATACTATAAATTTTATAGTGGCTTTCAGAACACTAACATTGTATACTGGAATAACTGAACACTATAAAATTTATAGTGGCTTTCAGAGCACTATAAATTTTATTGTAAGAGGAAAAAAGATGTTAACGTAACGTAAAAGAGTCGAAGTCTAGCTGAAATTGAACAAAATTCGAGTCGCAGAAGTATTCGTACCGAAGAAATTTTTTTCAAATTTAAAATCAAAATATTTACAAGCACGGTCCTCTCCGGCTTTATATCGGCTTTATTCTATATATGAACATAATGTGTATATATTATGTCAATATGTGGTATTACATTGCAAGGGTCAACACGTTTCGAAAATGAGCTGAAAAGGTAACGAAGTTTCGTTATTTGAACGAAAATTAATTTATAATTGGCACATTGAAGGAAAGTGTTACTTAGAAATTTCAGAATTAATGAAAAGAAGTAAGTCAACAGTAATACGTAATTAAAGAATGTTAAATCAAGTGGAGATGTAAAAGGAGCTCCGAAGAAACTAACTTTGAAAGAAGAGAGAGCAGTAATTAAAGAAATAAAAACAAAAAAAATCCGACTGTTAGTGGTGCAAAGTTATCAGCGTTCGTTTCAAAATCATTTACTAAAGAACTGTCTGCAGAAACCTGTAGAACAATTTTATGAAAAGAAGGTTTCAAGAAAAAGCCTTTTATTAATAAGAAGAACTATACGGAAGCGTTTACAATTTGCAAAACAGTATGTTGACAAAGATATTAACTTTTGGCAATACGTCATATTCTCAAATGAGAGCAAGTTTAATTTGTTTAATTCGTACCATGGTATGGAGGAAACAAAACACGGAGTTTGAATTAAAAAATTTAAAAGTCACTGTCAAGCGATTGGTGATCTAGTTTTCATTGACTGGAACAATGAATGAGAGGTATTATTTAAACATTTTTCGGGGTCATTTGTCATCAAGTGCAACAAAATTGCAATTGGAAAGTAATTATTATTTCCAACACGACAATGACCAGAACAGTTTCTACATTGTTAAACAATGGGTCTTATATAATGCTCCACATGTTTCACCATCCCAAAGTCTCTATTGAGAATTTATGGGCAGAGATTGCAAGAAGATTAAAAAAGTTCAGAATTACGAATAAAGAAATATTAAATGGAAAAAAATAGATATTTGGAGTACTATTGAAAAAGAATATACAAAAAAATTAGTCAAAAGTATGCCGGATCGTCTGAGAAGTATAATAAGATACAAAGGAGAATCAACTAAATATTAACTATGAAAACATTAGTGTTTTGTTTATGAAAATCTCAGTTTGTTTATTATAATTTGTAAAGTACGAACACTTCTGTGACTCGAATTTTGTTCAATTTTAGCTAGACTTTGATTTTTGTTACGTTAACATATTTTTTTTTACAATAAAATTTATAGTGTCTCGAAAGCTTAGTTGTTCCAACGTACAATGTCCATTAAAAGAATTTTCTAAGATGCATTATAAATAAATAGCAAAGCTTAGTTGTTCCAACGTACAATGCCCATTAAAAGAATTTTCTAAGATGCATTATAAATAATAGCATTCAAAATCAACAATCGGAAATACTTCTGTGACTCACTGTACATTCGCAAACAACACTGGAATAGTAGCAACACACGAATACCCAGAAGAAGCAGCTAATATTCTACAAAAAATCATATTCACTTGTTAGAAGAATGGTTAAATGAACGAAGACTAAAGGTAAACCATAACAAACGCAACCACATTACTTTCACTTTCTGCAAAGCAGATACTCCAAAAATAACCCTTCGTAATAATTAATTAAATACCTAGGACTACACCCTGATTCAAAATTAACATGGGCACAATACATACGTGAAAAAAAAAAACCAAATCAAGAGAAAGTATGTGCACTGGCTGACAAGTATTGAAAACAAACTGCTGATCTATAAACGTCGTGATTAAACCAATATGGACATATGGCATCCAATTATGGGGTAATAGCAGCAAAAAGTCATATAGCTGAAAATGGAGGCTATGCAATGAAAAATGGACTAAAATGGATCGAAATCGTCATATCGAAAACGAAGTGTTTCGAAAATACCTAGAAAATTCCTTTCGTCGAAGAAGTAATCCAACTGCACACAGGCAGATATAAAACAAGGAACAACAAACCGTTGAAATTCATTGGTTAAAACTCTGTACACCAGCGAGACAACTAGAAGACTAAAGTTGACGCAAGCTCAGATAAAAATACAAAATTTCTGTAAAAGTGTCAGTCCAAAGGGATTGAAACGTCTTGCCAAATGTCCACAGGACAAATTGCAAGAGTCACAAGGAGTTGAAAAAAAACTTTACATAGAAAGATATTGAAATTTTACAGTGGCCAGCCAGATCATCAGATTTCAACATCATCGAGAATTGTTGGAGACAATTATCGAGATCAGTATATGCTAAGGGAAGACAATTTCAGACCGTTCAGGAAATTAAGAAATTGCATCGAGCAAAACTGGAGATCTTTATTTAAAAATTTGTTAAAAAATTATTTAAATCCTTGCCAAAATGTTTATTAGCAGTAATACAAGAAAAAGGTAGAGCAACAAATTATTGATATAATACATTTCAATAGGTAAAAAATCGTTTAAGAGCTATCTTTTTGACGAACCGATTTTTCATTACTTTTCAATATTGTAAAACTTATTCTTTTCGTAATAAATATTTTGAAATATACTTGTATAATTTGTTGTTATTATTATCAAAGCAATGAAGCATAATTGTTTCAAAAGTTAAAAAATCTTATATTTATACAGTGTGCGCGTTTTTGCGATTTTCACGAAATTTATGTGATTAACTCGAATGGAAAGCCTTTCTCTTTCTACGCGTTGTGTCGAAATCTTTTTTTTTTTGTATTTTCGTACGTTTCTTTTTTTTTTACAAACGCGTGAAAATTATCAACGTAGGATCGTCGGTTGAATGACAACGATTCGAAGTGTCGAGTGAATAGTTGAACGAAAACTCGACAAACGTGTTTAGATTAGATTGTAATAGATTGTAATCCAATCTACGTTTCAATTGGAATTTAATGTGAAAATTTATTTGGAATTCTATCAGCGATAGTTTGCAATTTCTCAAGAAATTTTAATTTTCATTGGCACACCGCGAAAAGGAACTTCCACTTCGTGTACGTTTCACTTTGATTACGATATTATCGGATATTAATAGATAGATATCGTGATGAGATAAATTGTTGCTTCATTCGATTGTTATTTCAACGTTGTCTATTTAATAACATTCGATTGAAGCATTTGTATCTGAAGCTTATGGCATTGTAATATAATTGCAACGTATAGCAATTTTTGTGACTAATGGCGAGATTTGTACTTTATTTACGAGTATTGTAGACATAGTTAGTCAATCGAGGAAACTTATGTCTAACTCTGACAAATTTCAAATAGAATTTTGGACATTGTATGAATCTCACGTAATTTTTTAATTAAAATTAGACCATTTCTAAGATATATTATTATAATATATCATTATTATTATAACATGGTATAATTATTGTATTATATTAGTGTACTATATTGTAGTATAATTATATAATTATATAATTGTATTATAGTATAATTATTGTATTATATCATTATTATTATAACATAGTATAATTATTGTATTATTGTATACAGTTTGAGCATATTTCAAATGAAGTGACACTAAGAAATTATAAAGTGTTTCGTACAAAATTAGACTCTTGTTCTCGAAATATTCGATTAAGTTTTTCCTACACGTTATTCACGTAAAAGCTAACAAAAGCAAAGGATAAAACGCAACGAAGCAAGTTACAAAGTCGCATCAGCCTAATTTAACGATAAAAGAACACTCGTGATTTAACGAAGAAAACGTTTGCGGAGGCTCTACCGAAAAGTTTCTAATTATTCAAGACGCGTATTTTTTTTTAATGGATAGTTATATTAATTTGATTATTATATTATATTAATAGTTATATTTATTTATTATATTACATTAATAGTTATATTTATTTTATTCCGTTTCTTTCTTGTGCTTTAATCGCATTATGTCCCGAAATAGGTAAATTTTGAGAATTTTTTAAACAAATAGTTAAATGAAGAATGCACATTTTTTCACAGTACACAAATGTGATATTGTCTTTTTTTCTTTTTTTTAGTCAAAACATTGCAGCATGACCGAATTATTCGCTAATTTCGAAATCTCGTTTCTTCTTCCATTCGTTCTTTCCTTTACATTCCGAAATAAATCAATTTTGAGAATTTTTTAAACAGATATGTTATTAAATAAAAAATTTCAACTTTGAGGTACGTGAAATGTGACGTTTCATTTTATATTTCAATCTTCCTTTTTAATTCAAAATGTTTCGAAATGATCGAGTTATTCGCTAATTTCGAAACCCCGTTTCCTCTTCCATTCGTTCTTTCCTTTACATTCCGAAATAAATCAATTTTGAGAATTTTTTAAACAGATATGTTATTAAATAAAAAATTTCAACTTTGAGGTACGTGAAATGTGACGTTTCATTTTATATTTCAATCTTCCTTTTTAATTCAAAATGTTTCGAAATGATCGAGTTATTCGCTAATTTCGAAACCCCGTTTCCTCTTCCATTCGTTCTTTCCTTTACATTCCGAAATAAATCAATTTTGAGAATTTTTTAAACAGATATGTTATTAAATAAAAAATCCCAACCTTGAGGTACATAAATTTGATGTTTCATTTCATATTTCAATTCTCTTTCCTCTTTTTTTTTAAAGTCGAAGCGTTGCGAGATGATCGAGTTACTCGCTAATTCTCGAGATTTCTTCTGTTTCCTCCTCCACTCGTTCTTTGCTTTGCACTTTAAACTGTCCCAAAATAGATGAACTTGGCGGATTATCGTGGCCTCGGTTGATCGATAAGAACCGGCAACCCGTTCCTAATTACCCGAGACGCGTGTTTCGCCCGCGAGTACCCCGCCGCACCGTAATTTCACTGCGTTGTACCGCGAGTGCAACGGTAATTTAAGATGTAACGGTGGTACACGGCTAATTGGTCAATATTTGATGTTTCCCGGAGGGGAACGGCGGCTAATTCGTACGAAGCGTTAAGAGGGGAAGCGTAAACGAGTCTTGGAAAATATTACAGCCGCTTTACCTTGATTTCCTTCGGATTATTCCCTAGCCATGGCTACGAACGAAACGAATTCTTCTTCGTCTCTTTATTATTTTTCAGATGATACCTGACGAGGAGGAAGATCGTTATGAGAGTAGATCTGCTCACTCTGGACAGTTAAAAAAAAAAAAAAAAAGAAAAAATAGGTAAAGGTGTTGAAAAAAATAGGACACCTGATACGATTATGCGCGCGGAAATATTCGCGGAAATGACAATCCCGGGGCGGTAAATACTGACCTGTTAAACGTCGAAGGAAACCGATTTCCGACGAGGAATCTCCGATTAAGCGCGGCTTCTCTGTTCTCGCCTCGAACGTTTCTTCCCTTCGAGAACTTTAGAAATCCAATTTGGGAGGTGTCAGGAATTTATTTATCGTATGAGAATACTTGGAATACAATAGTTGCTAGATGAAACAAATTTCTGTTGGAAATAATAGAAATAATACAAACGCATGTTTTTTTTTTCTTTAAATTTTTCATTATTTTGTTTGGAAATATAATTTTCAGCATTATGCGTGAACTATATTAATTTCAGGATTAATTTTGAAATAGATTTAAAAAAAAATTATTGCTTCTTCTACACCAAGTTAATTAGAATTTGTATTGAGATATTTTATGTTTAGAATTGAATGATTTAGCATTTTTACATTTATTTATTCATGCTTTATTTAAATTAATAATAATTATACCTGTAGGAAGATTTATTCATTATATAAATGGAATTCAAAATTTTCGTTTTTATAAAGGAATATTTTATATTTATCCAATAAGACGAATAATTATTATATTTTCTTTAATAATAACATGTGGTTTTTCTTTTTCTAGTTGGATTTTATTCAAAAGATTTAATAATTGAAAATTAGGTTTTTAAAAAATAAAAATTTTTTGTTTAATTTTATTATTATTTAGAACATTATTAACTATTTCTTATTCAATTCATATTATAATAAATTTATTAAATAATAAATTAATATTAAGTATAATTTATTCTTATGAAGATAAATTAATAAATTTTTGTATAATATTATTTATAATAATAATTATATTAATATTAAGAAAAATTATTTTAATTTTAATTTTATAACTTTTAATTTAAATTGATTAAAAATTTATAAATATTTTGTATATTAGGTTTTATTATAAATTTAATTTTAATGAAAATAAATTTTAGAAAAATATTAATAATTTTTTTGAAAAATTTTATTTGTAACATTCCTCAAATGACCACCGTTTTGAAAATGAACAAGTTATGACTTTTTCCAAACCCTTCAGTTTTTTAGTGGCCACCCTGTATAATATAAATATAATATATTAATAATAATATATATAATTATAATATATAATTATAATATATTAATATATTAATCACATAATATTTCACTATATAATTCATTTAGAACTGATTTCTTCAATTTCGTAGAAATATAAAATTGCACGAACTGGTTCACTAATCTAGGAATAATGCGAAACTGAAGATTGAAATATATTACGTACATAAATATTGTACTTTTAAAATTAAATCTTTTAAACTGATAATCTAAACAGAATCAAGAGAAAGTCGAAGGATTTTAAATTGAGATCTCTTTAAATTGAAAATCTCGGATCATGTTTGCCGAGGATGAAAGTTTCCAAAGGGTATAGCGAGTGGTATCGATGAATTGAAAAAAAGTACTAGGTTTTTTCTGAAACTGAAGAAAAGCTGGTTTCATTTAAAAAAGAATAAAGATTACTTTGAAATCTCGGATGCACATCCATACAGACTAAGGTTTGTGACTTCCAAGAGACTCTTTGTTTCGGAGCAAAGGAGAGGTTTGTCTCCTCACGAAACCAACTAGGTTTTATTTTAAACATTTTTTCCCATAGCGAGTAATTTAGCAGATAATTGCGTGGGACGTTTCAAATCGTTCAAATCGCTCAGTGTATGAAATCACGGTCTTCTGGTTTTCTGTGTCTCAACCTCTTCAGCGTTTATGTCGAATATATACTCTCGATGAAAAGGAATTTTTATGTTTTTAATCTGTCTATTGTAAAATTTAGGCAAAAGAATTATATATATATTTGTAATTTTAGCACATTTTATTTCAACTCAGAAGAACGAGAAGATAAAATAGAAACCAACGAAATTAAAAATTTTTCAACAGGAAACACCAAAGATTTACATTTTTCATTTTGTTACAATTACAAGCAAGTGCATTTACTGTGTTTACTCATCGCTTAGAAATAATTAAATACACCAGTGCGCGGCGTTCTCAAAATAAAACAAAACAATAACCCTCGAAGGGTTAATAAAACCAACGTGAACAATCGCTGACGTTCAAACAAGGAAAGACGTGTGCCAACTTCTCAGATTCACCACAGAATCACAAGTTTCCCATAAAAATTACCGAAGCCGGCGCACGCAGATTCGATCTGTTCACTCGTTAGAGGAATAACTGCGAAAGGCGAGATCGTGGTCTAGAACCGACTATCGCGAATGAAGATCTCGATCGCGTGACAACTATTGTTCCTATATACTGGGACTTGTTTAAACGACGGCAAATCCGCGGCGTGGGCCGCGTTTAGGCTGGTTTTTCCACCCACGTCGCGTTCCATCCGCCGATACCTTTTTAAGGTCAGTGGAACGGGCCTTGCGCAGGTGTCCAAATCGTTCTCGATTTGGACGGGTTCCTGCGTCGAATCGCGCACGATTGAGTCAGCAACAATTATGCTACGCCACTCGAGGGAGTTTCGCTGCACAGTTTTGCGAAATGACAGCTATCAGCGATTTTCTTTTGAATTTTCTTTGAAATTATACTTTTAATTATGTTACTATATAATTATATAATAATATTATATTATTATATATATGTTATATTATTTATATTATTTTATTATATTTTATTATATTATTATAATAGCATATATTATATTATATTACTATAATATTATATTATAATATTATATATGTTATATTACTTATGTTATTTTACATTTTATTATATTATTATAATAACATATGTATTATATTATATTATTATAAGAGCATATATTATATTATTATATATATGTTGTATTATTTATATTATTTTATTATATTTTATTATATTATTATAATAGCATATATGTTATTATATTACTATAATATTATATAATAATATATTATATTATTATAATAGCATATATTATATTATATTACTATAATATTATATAATAATATTATATTATATTATTATATAATGATATTACATTAATAAAATATTATATATACATTATATTATTTTATTATATTATTATATAATAATATTACATTAATTAAATATTATATTATATTATTTTATATATATATTATGTATATTATTTTACTATATTTTATTATATTATTAAAATATATATAATAATATATATTATATTATATTATTATATATAATAATATTTCTTGACGAAATCCATCGAACACTCATGGGAATTTCTATACAAAGTGCATGTGCATTCCATTTAAATACCAAACACACGCGTCAGAATTGCAAATTCTCAGAGAGAGCTTAAGAAGTTGAATTTGTAAAGGAAAGGAAAGTACAAGTGTATTTCCCTCTTCAGACGACGAATTTTCCTCTTCAGCGAGCTTTCTTTTCTCACCCTTTGTCCGCGTCACCGAAAGAACAGATTCTCGGACGTCAATTAAGCTGCATCGCGAGAAACGCGAGACGAAGGGATGAAACTCGAGAGCACGAGGGCAGAGGCTTTTAGAAACGGGATTTCCCGGCGTTGATTCCCCCGTTTGCTTCGTAATTTCCCGTTTGTTCCTCTCTTACCCTTCCTCTCCCACCCTTCCACCCGCCCGTGAGCGAAGATTGCATTTAATTGCGCGGAAACCGATCTCGATGCTCGAGGTTGCGAGCCGTGTCCCGATGATAGATCGACGATTAAAACGCGTTACGTGCGACATAATGGTTAACTCGCGATTGTTTCGCAACGATTTCGATACGCGACAACGGAGTTTCGAAGATTTCAAGTGGTTTTGATCGAACGAGCGACTATGTGTCTGGGAGAAGTTTCTCTTTTTTTTTGTTTTATTTCGTTAAGAACATTACGATCAATCCTCATTGAGGATTATAAGTAAGTAAACTGGCGTGAGTCATGTGGCATGCAGAGTAGTTACTACTACTAATGTCGATTAATGAGACACATAGATTCGGATGTTTATATAAATCTATAGTGAAGGTCCAGAGGGTAGTATCTTTGTTCGATGACCAACTCGAACAAAATTAAATTTCTGCAAATACTGACAATGAGCTAGCAACAGTCCACATAAAAGTGGACTGTGAATAGTTAGTCATCAGGGCAAGATCCAGTAGTTGGTCATCTATGGTCCTTCCTCTCCCATTTGATGACGATAACCAAATATATATAAGGAGATGCATTAGAGACATTCGATGGCATAAAACATTTTAAATCATTATAGAGACATTCTATATCGTTAAGAGCATAAAACATTCTAAATCATTATACAGACATTTTATATCGTTAAGAGCATAAAACATTCCAAGTCATTATAGAGACATTCTATATCGTTAAGAGCATGAAAAAAATATTCTAAATCANTTATAGAGACATTCTATATCGCTAAGAGCATAAAACATTCCAAGTCATTATAGAGACATTCTATATCGTTAAGAGCATGAAAAAAATATTCTAAATCATTATAGAGACATTCTATATCGCTAAGAACATGAAAAAAACATTCTAAATCATTATAGAGACATTCTATATCGCTAAGAGCATCAAACATTCTAAATCGTTATAGAGACATTCTATATCGCTAAGAGCATAAAACATTCCAAGTCATTATAGAGACATTCTATATCGTTAAGAGCATGAAAAAAATATTCTAAATCATTATAGAGACATTCTATATCGCTAAGAGCATCGAACATTCTAAATCATTATAGAGACATTCTATACCACTGAGAGCATCAAACATTCCAAATCATTATAGAGACATTCTATATCATTAAAAGCATCAAACATTCTAAATCAATTTCTACATCATATTCAAGAGTATTAGACATTCATCATATTCTAAGACATTGTAAATCATTCTGTATCATTCTATTTCATACACGACCACGACTGTAAGGGAATAAACTCTTCTAAATTGTAAGCGTGTTTGATTCCATTACACGGAATCCAACGTCTTTTTAGTCTTCGTGTGTGTACTGTAGAATCCAACAGTCGAGCGACCAAGGAGTTAGGGTGGTTACTCACGCGTGAGTTGTATCTGTTGCCGTGGTTTGATATTTCCTCTTTACTTGTGGGGATCCTGAGACCATGATGGATTGTTTCGTTACATACCAACGTGTGTTTGTGATTATTCTTAGTGTTTTTGATTGGAAGCGTTGGAGTATTTCGATGTTGGCTCGCTGTACCACAAAGTTGAATTCCGTAGGTCCAGATGGGTTTCAAGATGACTTTGTAGAGTAGTAGTTTATTTTCCAGGCTTTGATTTGATTGTCTACTCAAGAGCCAGTAATATTGTTTAACAATTAACTTGAGTTGGTTACATTTAACTTTGATATGTTGTTTCCACGTTAATCTTCTGCCGAGGTATTTAACCAAATCTTTGGTCGGAATTATTCAATTGTTATAAGTCACTGGTGGGCAAGTTTGCCTTCGTAGGGTAAATGTAACGTGCGTTGATTTATTTTCGTTTGCTTTAAATCGCCATTTGTTGAACCATTCTTCCAAGGTGTCGTGGCTTCGTTGGAGACATGTAGATGCTATTTGCGAATCTTCATGAGATGATAATAGAGCTGTATCATCCGCGAATGTTGCAGTGATTACAGGGAATATAAGAGGGGTCCAAGGACACTGTCTTGCGGAACCTCGGAATTAATAGGAAAGGTTGAGGAGTTAGCGTCTAGGCATCTCACTCTGAAGGTTCTATTAGTTAGGTATGATTGAAGTATGAAGTAGTAAGGATGAGATAGGATGTTTTTGAGTTTGTACATTAGTCCAGCGTGCCATACCTTATCAAATGCCTGTTGGATGTCTAGGAACGCTGCACAAGTATTTTTTCTTTTCTAGGTCTTGACTGATTTCATATAAATACTATTCTATTGTTGAATGCCGCTTACGAAAGTCAAACTAGTGGTCAGGGATAATCGTCAATTCTTCTAATATGGGACGGAGGTGTTTGATGAGCAATTTTTCAAATAACTTAGAAATGTTTGGCAGTAAACTGATTGGACGATATGAGCTTGCTTATGGATAAGGGTGATGATTGATAGTTTCCAAGATTTTGGGTAATTTTAGACGAAGGATTGCGTTAAATATCGATGTGTGGAATGCAATTCCTCTTTTGGGGAGATCTTTGATCGCTTTGTTATTTATTCTGGGAGAAATGAAGGGAAATTTCACGAACGCGAGATTACTGAAAACGACGTAATTGAAACAAAATGAGATAACAAATCATTGACAAGTTCTGCGATGTGATTTAATGTCGTAATGGATACCAATTGTATTTTAATTATTAATAATAATAAAATACTAATATACAGTTCTAGAATTAAAAGTTCTAGGGATAATTTACGAAAAGAATATTATAGAAGATTGGGGATATTACATACATGGAAATTTTCTTTAAAGAACAGCATATTCAATAGATTGTAAATTGTAAACGTAAGTTGATTAAGAAAGGATTAAAAATGAGATATCATTGCGGGATGAAACGTTGGTTTTCAATTTAAAGTTAAAGATTTACACGTTAGACAGATATGCACAATTCTCGCTGTAAGATAATCTATAAATCACTGGATCGACCGAAATATAAATATTTGCATATTCTTGTCGACAGTAAATAACATAACTGAATTGCAATAATGAATGGAATATGTATACCTGTATACATATGTATGTCAAATAAAATAGAATAAGGTAGATTCGGAGAATACATCCGAAACGTTCATATTTATTCATATTTACGTGCACTGTTGGTACGATGTATAATTTATTGTGTTACATTTAGCACGCAGAGCGTGATAAATGATGCAGGAAGATCCTTCAGATTTTTGAAACAGATATTGTTGCAGCAGCACAATGGAAACGGCAAGCAATATCGTTCGTATTAAAAGATGAATAATCAGAAATGTCCCTTTGAAAATATCTGGAGAATGAAGGAAACATAACAAGAACAACGAAGACAAATCATTCATAAATATTGACGAATGATCTCGTCATATTTTCTTAATAATACTAACTATTACACGCGAATGATTGGCAATAATAATCCAGAATGAATTGAACGTCGATTTTCTTACCTTTCAATAAAATATTTTTTCTAGCAGGTTCCTCAAATTTCACTACTACCAAACGTGATGCGTGATTTAATATACTTCTAATGAAATAAAATGTAAATGCTATAATTGGACTGCGGATATTTATGCGAAAAATAAAATATGCAAAAAGCATATGAATTTTACGCTCGTAAAATATGTAAATGTGCAAGAAAAATATGCACATAGATAATATACGCGAAAAGTACGTAAAATTCAACGCGGGTTGGTCGCGTATAACTATCCTCTGAATTAATAAAAAAAAAGGGTATTGAGCAGTTTTGTTTTAATTTAACGATTTATTGGCTCTAATAAATTTTGAAAAGTTACCAACAATTTTTCCTTACTCTCAGTTTTCGACGTTTGTCAATATTAACGCGCATGCTGAAAATCACAGTATGCAACAATGTATTTACATTTGTTCGAATATCACTGCGGTGCCTTGGTTATACCAATCCCAATTTATGACTGTGTACATAACCATTTACGATAGTAATCAAATACTGATTATTACGATAGATATGAAAGGAATGCTTATCGTATGTGTCTACACATCTATTAACTAAAATATAAATAACACTAAATAGTAATTATCAGAAACATTCTCAATATCCAACTATAATATAATAAATATTATTCATTTATTTATTTGAGCATAAAATTTAGAAAGTCGAACAAACAACGACGAGAAGTTAAAGTAAGCTAAATATTCACATTTCCACTTACTGTAAATGGAGTAACATGTTAACAAAAATATCATATAATATGTGTTTTGAATTCGTCTCGATGTTCTCTACAATACGGTGGCAAAAAAAAGTATGCGTTCCTATTTGTTTTATCCAAAGTGACCTTGACTTAGCTATGAAAACAAACAGTTTTCGAAATTTTTTTTTATTGATACCTTTTGTTCTAAACTTTTTTTTTCGTCAGACGGCTGTAAGTAGGAGAAAAATCTCGCGTTACAGGAAAACATCCTGCTCGTCATTACAATCAGGGGTGGCTCTGTCATCTTTGGCTGAATGTAAGAATTGTCAATCGTCGTCTATGATCAACAAACAAAGTTGAAGATCACTGGAAAAATTTAATTTAACCCTTTGCTCAAACAATGAGTCTGAACTAATTTCCTTGGTTGATCGAGCGAGCAGCTCTTACGGGGACGAAACTCGTCGTCTCTGTGTCTCACAGTTTCGTGAAATTCGCGGCATCAGTGGAAACGTTGACGAACAATTCGAAAAGAAGGAAAGATTCTGGAAAGACGATTCGCTCGGCGAGAAATATCCAAACGGAGCTGCGATAACGCCGCGGATTTTAATGGTTTTACGATTGTCCTCGCTGTGAAGGGCATTAATAATGGCCGGGAAACGGGCGGCCATTGGAAAATCCGATATCGACGACCGGTTTTCCCCGCGAAATAATGCGTTTGACTTTCTACTCGACTCGATGATACGTAGGACGCGCGGAACGTGCAAGTTGTTAATCTTTCAATTTCCCGTGCGCGCCGCGGTTCGATAAATTTTCAGCCGAGGCATCGCGGTTGCAACGCGGCGTTTCATTGTCGTTCGAAAAACGCTCCGACCGTGGGTAATTAATAGAATGATCGAGGGAGAAAACCGAGAGGTTATTTCGTGTCGTGGGACAATTTACCGGGGAGGATTCGACAGCAAATAGCGACAGGATGAAACGTGAAATGTGTACGCTGTAAAAGTATCGCACTATTTGGAGATGGTTGGACAAATTGTTTTCTAAAGTTCAATGTTGTGAGTGAGTCCTTTACAGTATATCAGCTTAATGAGTTTCACTCTAATAAAAATGATCGGTGACGGTGAATGTGCACCAAGACTGTTTGCCATTATTATTTCTATTCTTTTTATATTATATTTTATTATATTATATTATATTTTATATAATATAATATTTTATATTTTATATTATATAATATTATATTATATTTTATATTTTATATAATATAATATTTTATATTTGTACTTACATTGTAATTATTATTTATTTAAAGCGATTGTAATTATTTATTATATCAATCTCACGAAGCACACGTGTTTAGTAAAACTTGTTGAGCAAAGTATCTAAGTATACTATTTTTAAAAGTATAACAACAGTAGCTGTATCAATTATACGCAAATTAATATACTTGTGAAGAATTGAAATCAAAGTTTGCTATTATTATTTCTACTCTTGTTTTATAATATTATATTATAATATTTTATATTTGTACTTACATTGTAATTATTATTTATTTAAAGTGATTGTAATTATTTATTATATAAATATTGTTAATCTCACGAAGCACACGTGTTCCATAAAATTTGTTAAGCAAAGTATCTAAGTATACTATTTTTAAAAATATAACAACAATAGCTGTATCAATTTTACGCAAATTAATATACTCGTGAAGAATCGAAATCAAAGTTTCTTTTATGCTTTAAATTTTATGTCTGTTATATGTTTTTGCACTATTATGTGGATTCGGTATATTTCTCATGAACGCGTGGATATCTTTAGTTGTAACAAAACTGTATAACCAGAATTCAATTATTATTATTATAATTATAATATATAAATATATTATATATAATTATAGTATACAAATATATTATATATAACTATAGTATACAAATATATTATATATAACTATAGCATACAAATGTATTACATATAATTATAGTATACAAATTTATTATATATAACTATAGTATACAAATGTATTATACATAATTATAGTATACAAATTTATTATATATAATTAAAGTATACAAATGTATTATATATAATTATAGTATATAAATGTATTATATATAATTATAGTATGCAAATGTATTATATATAATTATAGTATATAAATTTATTATATATAGTTATAGTATAGAAATATGTTATATATAATTATAGTATTCAAATTTATTATATATAATTATATATATTATACAAATATATTATATATAATTATAGTATACAAATATATTATATAAATATATTACACATAATTATAATACGTGTAATATATTACTAACAGTTTCAAAAATTTTTAACAAGATCTTTGAAAAATTCCTTCCTCCCCCAAAGAAACAAGAAACGAACAAATCGAAGGAAAAATTCGAGAACTGCGCCGTGAAGAACTGCCGCGTCAAAATCCCCCCGCGGAGGTATCTTTCATTCCCACCCGACAGCGTTGTTCATGCAAAGTTACGCGAACGAAACAGGGAACAACCGTGACGGTGAGGAGTAAATCAAGGACGAAACATCATCCGATTGGAGCCAGAATTTGACTTTTTTTTTTTTTTTTTATTTCGGTGAAATCGTTTGAACGGAATGGAATTCGATAGTGGCGGGAGGGGGAGGATGAGCACAAACGTTAGTTAATCGATGGAATTCCACGATGTTCGTCGATATTCCCCGTCGCTCTGGCCGCGTCGCAATTTCACTTCTCGCCTCTCTCTTTCTTTCCGCGGTGGAGAAGTTCCATGGGGAAGAGTTTCGCATAAAAGGAACGGGACGGTGGGTGGTGGGTGGCGGGAGGAGGCGGAGAGGCGTGCACAGAGAGAAATTCCAGCGACGTCTCGCGCGTACCCGGAAGAGTTATAGCTCGGGGGACACGAAGAAACACGGCATGCATTTGCGAGTAACCGTATAATAGAGCCACGTTGTAGCGATGCCAAATAATTTCGCCGGGGTCAGCCCGAAATTTTCGAAATACAGAAACTGCGCGCCGCCTCCCGGAAGTCACTCGTCCCCCTCCTTCTCCACCTCTTTCTCCTGCCTCTTCTGGATAATATAACCTGGAGATAAGGAAAGAAACGAGGCTGCCGACCTCGTGTTTCACCGTTCAACCGGTGGCAATGAGAAAACGGGAACTCGTCGGTGGAATTTCTGGGACGAAGAGAGGAGAGAGGCATTGGAAGGCGGTGGAAGAATTCTTCAGGGGTTGATTAAGGAATTGGATTGATTGAGGAATTTTGGTGGAAACTGTTGTTTCATTGTTCTGTCGAGTGTGGCGAATTTAGTGTCGTCTCTTTTGGAATTGGATTGGCCGAAACTAGTTGCTATTTTACTACGTTACTATTTTATTTCGTTTGAATTGACGATTCAGGGTGATCGAGAAATTTTGTTTTGCTTTGTTTCTTCTCTAGTGACGGCAAACATTTTTGGTTTTAGTCTCGCGACGTTTGGTTTTCTTCTTACAATTGATGTTTAGGTGATCGAACTTGGTTCGAAGCCATTTGAATTATAATTTAAAATTATTATATTCATTAAGATTGATTTTCGTCGTAATCCGATGGAAATGAGTTCTTTCGTTGTTTCGTTGGGTAAATTTATCTGGTTGAATTTCGACGTATGTTTCTTTCTCTTTTTTCTGTAATTAAGAAATATTGTCGAGAATTATTATCTCACTGTTTCTACGAATGTGGCAAATTCAATTTTGCCTCGCAGTGTTTCCCTCTCTTTTTTGGTAATGTACGAAATTCTTACAAAATGTTTGCACGAGGTGCGGAGATATACAAATTCACTTGTATCCAGATAAAGATTTCAAACATTTTATCTCAAATAATTAAAGTATCTTGACACATTCTGAAAAAATTGAGAAACCTCTCTTGCGCTAGTAACTGGTCCGCGGACCATAACGAGTGACCAAACCGTATACAACAGTTCGTCTTCTTTTTGAATTCATTCGATACGTCACTGGATGGAAATTACCAAGAAGTAATAAATTTATCATTTGTTTTGCCTGGGTTGTATTCCAATATACTTGAAATTAGTATATTGAAATTATTTTCTCAGCGTTGGGAATATATTTCACCTTAATACTAATAATAGTAATATTTAGAAACGTAATATTCAGAATCTTGAACGGAATCTCCTTTTCCCCGAAAATCACATTTTTGAACACAGTTCTATTAAACGCCTTAACCGCTTGTGCTGGCAACCGATTGCGGACCATAACGAGTGGCCAAATCGTAATACAGTAATTCGTCGCTTTCTTTCTGAACTCGTCAATATATCACTGGATAGAAATTATTGTGAAATAACAAATTTACTATTTGTCTTGCCTGGGTTATACTTAAATATACTTAAAACTGAGAAAATATCGCAATCTTAGGCCAAATATTCTCAATCTTCGTGACGCGACTGTCATTCTAGCGGAAGAGGTTAACCCTCGCACACGCGAAAATTAACCACTTGCGCTGGCAACCGATTGCGGACCATAACGAGTGGCCAAATCGTAATACAGTAATTCGTCGCTTTCTTTCTGAACTCGTCAATATATCACTGGATAGAAATTATTGTGAAATAATAAATTTACTATTTGTCTTGCCTGGGTTATACTTAAATACATTTAAAACTGAGAAAATATCGCAATCTTAGGCCAAATATTCTCAGTCTGCGTGACGCGACTGTCATTCTAGCGGAAGAGGTTAGATACTAACAGGAAGTACATCGGCAAATGTTACCAAACGTAGTAAAATGTATTATTTTCGCGCTGACTATCACCGCAACATGGACAACGAGTTGTTACTCACTGGACACTCGGATGTGTTATATTTTCAGCTCCGAAATAGGGTACGCTGGTTCGCCGCCAAGGGAGGCACTCACCAGAGGCAGGAGCATAGATTCCGTGGACAGGCCTTTTCATCCGAGCGACTGGGTCGACGTGAACCTCGAAGTGCCGAGTACACCGAGGGCAAGTTCCGCTCTCACGAATTTAACCGTCGACACGAGCCTCTATCCGGCCGCCACCCCCACGTCCAGCTGTAAGCTCGCAATTTATCGTTCGCTCGTATTGCAGGGTGTATCCTTAACGAGTAACACGCTCGTTCCGACACGCCGGCTGATAAGGATAGTAACACCGTGTGCAGTACACGCTATCGTCCAAAAATTCCCCGGCCGTTCTCTCTTATTTTTCGGCCAACGCGTATTTCGCTCGCAAGAATTACGAACAAATCCGGTGGCAATAGTTTCGTCCATTACGTACGTGTGCAGTTCGCCCGCCGTTGATATTCGGACGCTAAATATTTGACAACCGCGGCAAGAATCGCGCAACGATAAACCGGTTTCGAAGCTTCACTTTCAAAAAGCGTCAAGTTGTTTTTATTCTATTCTAGGTATTATTCCATTCTGACGTCGTTTTATTCCAAGATTTTATTCCGATGTTTTGCCTTTTAATAAAGTAAAATAACACAGAATGAACAGCGCGTTGCTTTACACATTTTATACTTAACCGGGGGTATTCTGGTAATCTGGAAAAAATCGACTATTTTTGGGATTTTTTTCTAAGGAAACCATGATACATTTTGGTATGCAGTTTTCGCATGCAGATTTATTCGTACTTAAAGAGTATTTACGATTTTTTTTTAACGAAATTAATGAAAGTTTGTGGAAATGATATAGCCTTAGGTAAAGCATGTTTTTATTTTAAAAAGAGGTTCGAGTGATTCCGGTCCATCTGGTTATTTGAAACTAAAAAATGCATTAATAGCTATCGCGTGAACGAAGCGAAATTTCGAAAATTAAAATAATGGTAGCATTTTGAAGTTAAAATATCGATTTTTCTTGAGATTTTCGTCTTTTGGATGGTAAAAAACAAAAAAAAAGGAAGAAACATCAGATTTTGAAATCCGTGGTTCATATGATAAAGGTACAATTTGGAGGATCCGGTGAAGATCTCCTCCAAATTTTAAGTCAATCGGTCGTTTGTACAAAAATATTCATATTTACAATCAATCGAGCACGATTAAATAATAAAATAATATAAAATAAAAATAATAAAATAAAATAAAATAAAAATAATAAAATAAAATAAAATAAAAATAATAAAATAAAATAAAATAAAAATAATAAAATGAAATAAAATAAAAATAATAAAATAAAATAAAATAAAAATAAAATAATATAAAATAAAAATATTATAATAAAATAAAATAAAATAAAACTAAAATAATAAAATAATATAAAATAAAAATAATAAAATAATAGTATAACAATATAGAAATAAAATATTATAAAATTTTTTTTTATAAATTTTAAAATTTATAAAATAAATAATAATATTATAATATAAAATATTTTTTGAGAAAAACACATTTGAAACTTTGTTACCCGTTGTACAAAAATATTCATACCTATGTTGCGAGCAATACACCGTTAAATATCTTTAAATAATTAATATCTATAACTTTACTAATTTTACGAATTCAAACAAATTCTTTTACACATGCATTCTCAAAAGCATATACTTTAAGAAAATGTAAGAAAGAGAAAATTTTTTTACGCCAGATTACCAAAATATCCGCTTAATGTGAGATTAGGAGATAAAAGTGTTTCATAATTCCGTTAGCTGCATTAGAAACCCTGGATATAGAATCGAGTTGTCCGATTTAATTTTCTTGTAAATCCAGGAGGTACACTCGAAAATAAACAAGTAAAGAAACAGCGCAAAAGTAAAAGAAAAAAAAAAAAAAAAAAAAAAACGCAAAGAAAAACCTTGACAAAATTATACGTTTGTAATTGACTCTTAAATTACTGAGAAAAACTTCAGTTGAAACGAAATTCAATTGACATCCAGGTCCAAATCTGAAGGACGTGACGCCGGTCCCGCCTCCCAGGCGGCGAAAGCGAAACAAGGGCAGGCCCTTGCCGCCGAAACCGGACGAGATCTCGGCGGAAAATTCGTCGAGCGGTTCGAAACGTCACGAAACCGGCGACGAGCCGCTGTACTCGTCGGTGAGGTCGCCGAGAAGCAGCGGTGACGAGCAAGACGCGGAAGAGGAGACGAGAACGGGCAAACATCGGTCGCAGGACGACGCAGGACGCGATGGAAGTGGTGCCAAGGAGATTTACGAACACAAGGCGAGTTGAGCCACCGTCGCGGAGGATCACCATTGTAAATTCCCTCGCCGCTCGACTCGATATTCACCGGAGAATATTTATTCCCCGGGCGATTCAGCAAACAATAGAGAATCTGTGAAACAAATATCGACGCGACATTAGGAAATATTTACGGATCGCGTTGAATTGAACCAACCCGTTCGTTACCAGCGAGGGTGGGGTCGTGTAGGGGTGTGGTTTTTGTGTGTCGAAATAAAATCGAGGGATGATGGGTTCTTTTGCCCTTTCGCGATAAATGTTCGTCCCTTTGTCGCTTGCTCTCATTTTGTTTGAAATTTGGTCTTGTTGATGAGTTCGCAAGCGTTCTCTTCAAATTCGACTCGATATATTCCCTGTTTCGGTATTAATTGTTCGCGTCTTTTGAAATCGTAGTAATAGAAGTATCTTTTGATATTTCTGTTAAGTTTTTTGAATTCGTAACTGTCACGGGTTTCTCTTTTGATGAAGTTAACGTTTCTTTTTTTCTTCTTATGTTCGTCTTGAAATTCGACTTGTGCTCCAGATTCGAAAGTGTAATTGTAAAAAGATTCCAGGAAAATTCGAAGTGTATAAATATATATAAAGAGTGGCATATGAAGGGATTTATCAGGTAAAAGTTTTATGAAAAATAAAATGACGCAATTCTTATAATTTTTATAATAATTTTTACAATTACTACAATATATTCATCTATAAAAAAGAATTAGGTTTGGGATATTTTTGAAAATGGAATATGTTGTACCATTAATCGTGTGCATTGAGATAATATCAAAAAGGTGTATTTGCAATTTTCACTTCAATTGCAAGTCAATATCAAGTTGTACAAAAATAGTAATATAAGAAAACTTTGACTGCATTGAAATCGAATGGAAACTAAGAGTGTTAAGTACTGAATGTCTTTTTTCTATAGTAATTTTGATGAAATGCATCTATTTGAATTAACAAGATAAATCCCAACAGTAGTAGAAAAGTACAAGGTGTCCCATTTGAAGGAAATGTTCCACGCAATTATTTCCAAAACTATTGCAGGTTATGTGTCCATCAGAAGAAAAATACAATTTCATTCAAAAATACACCTCAAACTCTCGTAAACACGTCTTAGACTAAGATTTTTGACAATCGTAAGATATTCATCTCGAAACAAAATAAGTTTCACTCGAAACACTGTTTTCTATAATGAATAGTTTAGGAGATAATTGCGTGGAACACGCTGTTTCAAACGGAACACTTAAAATTTTATAAAAAATTTATATAAAATAAATTTAAATATAATATACTTTTGTATAATATTTTTAGAAAATTTTATATATACTATATTTTTATATATTTTTAGAAAATTTTAGAAACTTAATTTTATTATATTTAAAATTTATTATGTTATTTCTATTACATTTAAAATTTATTATGTTATTTTTATTACATTTAAAATTTATCATGTTATTTTCATTACACTTAAAATTTGTTATGTCATTTTTATTATATTTAAAATTTATCATGTTATTTTTATTACATTTAAAATTTATTATGTTATTTTTATTACATTTAAAATTTATCATGTTATTTTTATCACACTTAAAATTTATTATGTTATTTTTATTATATTTAAAATTTATCACGTTATTTTTATTACATTTAAAATTTATCATGTTATTTTTATTACATTTAAAATTTATCATGTTATTCTTATCACATTTAAAATTTATCATGTTATTTTTATTACATTTACTGTTACTTTTATCATATCTAAAATATTCTTATATTTAAAAAAATTTAAATATAATAGAAACATAAGAAGAGTTTCCTTCGCTCCAACAGCCCGGAAAGTGAATTGGACGGATTTGCAGGTGAACGGCACCGGAAGGATAATATCGAGCGACGTGGTTTCCGGCAAGAGACCCTTCGAGAGCAGCCAGCAGCATCAGCGCAACGTCCACGAGAGCGAGGAGTACGAGAGATTTGCGAGGAGCCGGACGGACAACGATTCGTCGACCCCTAATCGCGAGGAGAAGAGGCGATCGAGGGAGATCGAGAGGCAAACGAAGGATTCCTCGAGGGACCACGGGAAATCGGGCAGCAACGCGAGGCCCAAGAACTTCAGCACCGTCAGTCTGCCGAATTACGACGAGTTGGACGTGGCCAGACACCGGCCGGAAGAAAACGACGAGCACGAACAACGCCGGGACAAAACGAGGAAGGCCAGGAGACCCGTCAGAAGCAGCACCGGATCGCTTCCGGCTGAATCCTTCCTCTCGCCGTTTTCGGAGGTACACGCGACCACTCTACGAATTTTCCGGGATCGGTTGTCTTTCTCAGACACAATTCGAAGCCGCGTTCGATTCTCTCTTTGAGAATGTGCGAGCAGCTTCGAGAAATAGTCACTACATGGATTTTAACGTCGTGTATTCATACTTGATAAAAAGAAGATATACACTTTTGTTTGTAGCAATTCACTATCTCTTTTAAACGACAATGAATTTCTGTTCTTGTATATGAGAGGTTCTGGACAATCGAACGATTGAATTTAAATTCAAATTTGTTTTAATTTAAATTTGTTTCAGAGCGTATTGAAGAATTAAAAATATTTGTCATAGTAACTGTAATCAGTTTTACGTTATTTTGCTTTTTTTATCAAGATATGAGAGGTGAATTTTTTAAATGGGATAGTTAATATTTCTTCCCGAATTCGGATAAAGCGTTGAATTCTATGTAAAAAAGTATTACACCAAATAGTATTACGTCAAATACGAGACTCACCCTCTATATTTGAATTTCGATTTTTATTCATTTTTCTGTACGCTATACACGAGAGATTTTGCACAATCGGATGCTCGAATTTCAATTTAACGAGTTTGGTTTGTAATTTTTCCGAATTATAATTCTCACTTAATTTGTTACCAATACAATTGACCATTTTAATCTCAATTTCTTGAATTTTGGGCAATCGAACGAATGCTTGAAATCTCCTCGCAATTTTCTGCTTCTCTTCAGAAATGTTCTTCGAATATTTAAATTATTTCGCCGCCTCGGTTCATAGAATTTCAATGTCGTAAGCTTGACTTCCCGAAACACGCCTACCACGCCCAGCAACAGATCTCTTGATTAATCAAGACGTAGGATACACGCTTCGGTTCTTCCACTGGCTACGTTACCTCGCTACGTTAACCACATCGCGGAGGGAAGGGAGCGTCTGCAAAAACGAAAGGGTTAAATCCAGGCTGACAACGATCCTCAGTCGGATAACGAGCGAATTTATTCTAATCCACAGAAAACGAGCGTACGACTGGAGGACTACATCCCGAGGTCCGATAACCTATCGCCGTATCAGATCATGGAGAAGTTGAACCGCGGCGCGAACAGTGTGGTTAGAGACGAATTCGTGAGGTACGACTCAGATAAACCGGAGGATTGGGAGTTGGACGACGAAGTGAATCGTCAACGATGCTTCACCTTGGAGGTATGATACTAATCAATTGATACTTTTTCGGCCAAAGAGAGAGTTTCAAGGCGAGGAAAATGTTGCAACTTTACAAGAACTGACGAGTAGACGGCGGACTTTTATGCAGGATTTTAACTCGTGTTTTTGAGAATGTGATTAAAAGATTGGAATCGTGGTAGAAAGTTAGTTATAGGCGTTTTAAATGTAGAAAGCGTCGTAGCTTTGGATATATTTTGGTATATTTCTTTCGTGTCACGTAGATTTCTTTTAGCTTCGAGTTTCCTATGAACTATAAACATCTATAGTTTATTGACAAGAACCGAAAAATATGGTTAATGCGAAATATGAAAAGACTTTAATTTTTAACTCTCTTTTGTCTGTCACTGTTTACATTTTCGTACATACTGTAAATATTCTAGATAATAAATAAATTTATTTGAGACATGGCTTAATCAGTTGATACATGAATTTCAGTGCATAAGTATCCTAGAATTTGAAAGTAATAGGTAAAGAATTGCTGCATTATTTGAAGTATTGATCAATGAATTGGCATACGAGTTTCGGTATAAACAGTGTATGAATATTTTAGAATAAAGTAAAGAATTATTGTGTTAAGGACCAATCAATTGGTATATGAATTTCAATGTGAATAATACATAAATATTCTGTAGCTTAAAATCCAGAAATAAAAGAATTATTGTATTATAGTCGAAGCATTAACCAATGAATTAACTTATGAATATCAGTATGAATAATATATAAATATTCTAGAACTTGAAGTTGACGGATAAAATAGAGAATTATTTTATTACTTGTGGTATTACTTTATTACTTAGTAGCTGGTGGATAAATTTCAGCATAAATAATGCATAAATTATATCTTAATTTAAAATCAATAGATATAGTAAATAATGACCGTTTTATTTGAAGTATGGACCAATGAATTTCTGTATAAACAGTACATAAATATTCGGGAATTTACAATTAATAAATGAAGTAAAGCATCGCTGTATTATTCAATTAATTAATCCGTTAATTGGCACGTGAATTGCTACAGTATAATCAGTGCATAAATATTCTAAGAGTTAAAATCAATGAATAAATTAAAATGTTACTATATCGTTTGAGACATGTGTTGATTAATTAGTATATTAATCTATTGCACGATTGTCCTAAAATGTAAAGTTGAAAGGTAAGGTGAAGAACCACAAAAAAGATGATAAGGACAGGAAAGATCCATGTTAAACAATGACAGAAATATGATATTATGTAATAAATGTGGATTTACTTTATAAACAAATTAAAATGTTTAATGTACAATGTATAAAATGTACAACGTGATCTTATAGTAATGTTTAAAAGAATTTTTCAGTAACTTACTTTTAAAATTGTCACTTAGTGATAATGTATACTTAATATACGGTATGTAGTGTATAGTATATATAGTATATATTAAATAGTATATATATTAAATATAACTTATAAGCTATAATAATAGTAATATATAGTATATATATTAAATATATATTAAACTTAGTATATTAATATATACTTAAACGTATAGTAATTATGTTATTCGATTCTCGGTAATAAGAATGCGATATAAAATACTAATCAAGAGATTATTTAGTCAAACACATAGTAAATCCACTGAAAATTGTTATCAGCATGTATATTTCTATTAACATAATCTTAAGTATAAAATTTTTGTTTATGTCGTGAAAGATTGGAATTCATTAGAATTAATTAATTAATTAGAAACTCCAGAAACCAAACAATTAAAGGACTCTTTCTTTAGAAACATTTTTCCACGCATAACTAATTAGATTCGAAAGAGAGAAGCCTGTTGTCAAAAATTGTATTAAAATCAACGTTGATTGAAAGTCGAGAGGCTTGATAATGACAATTTGAAGACGGATACAGAACGCGAAAGAAGGATTTTCAGGATACTTCTGACGTGGACGAGGGGAGTCAAGTTCGCGAGGACGGCGAGGACGTCGTCGATTTCTCGAGAGCCAAGAGTCCAAAAGACGAAGGAAGAAGTTCATCCCCTTTGGCGAATAAAGATGTTCCAGCATTGACGATCCACTTGGAGAAGCCCGAAGCGTTTGGAAAAACAGCGTCGCCGTTCGTTGGCCAGCCAGAGTACGCCGAAGTGGATCCAAATAGGTTGGTAGAGATTATCTTATGGTACGGTGTTCCGAGGGATTAAGTGGGTTTAATTGAGGTGCCCAGATGCCGACCGTTGTAAGTCCATATTCCGTGGTCTTAACGTCCTGACCATTGTATAATCTTCTCTCGCCACTTTCTAAACTTATATCTACTGAGATAGTTTGTTCACGGTACACACACAGCCAGTATAATAATACTAGTTATTGCTCGGTAAAGTAATATATAGATTATAAGAGATAAGATTGATGAAAAAATTTGGCAGATGTTTCCTTGAAAATTATACATATACAGTAAGGAGCATAACCAATAACCACAAGTTTCATATAAATCTTTATTTATTCCTAAGAATGTAGGAGAATATTAAAAAATAAACATTAATAATGCACACAGCCAGTATAATAATATTAGTTATTGCTCGGTAAAGTAATACATAGATTATTAGAGATAAGATTAATGAAAAAATTTTGGCAGGTGTATTCCTTGAAAATTATACATACACAGCAAGGAACATAACTGAACCAATAACCACGAGTTTCGTATAAATCTTTATTTATTGGTAAGAATGTAGGAGAATATTAAAGAATAAACATTATAGTAATTTTTATCACAGTTAGAAGTAACGTACGAAATGTTTTCAATAATTAATGTCTCCTCGTTTAGACGTGGCAAAAAAAAAAAAAAAAAAGAGAAAGAGAAAATGGATTGACTCGTTTTGCACCGATTTGTAAAAGATATGTTTATGTGGACTCTTCTAGCAGTATGTTTACATGTAGTAATTACAGTTTGATATGTTTATAAAATGTTATTGTACGTCTTAGCACTTAGTTTCTTGAAATCAGTCGAACGAAAAAGCATGCAAGTGAAATAAGAATGAATATGAAGTCAGTTCCTCCAAATTGTTTAAAAATAGTCATTTCTCTTTTGAATGACGTCAAGCGAAAAATTGTAGTGTTAGTCAAGACTGCAGAGAATAAGACAAAAATACTGTAAAAGTATATTATTAAATGTTGGAAATATATTATTATTATTATTATTATTATTATTATTATTATTATTATATATTATTATATATTATTATTAGTATTATATATTATTATATATTATTATTATTATTATATAATATTATTGCAAAAAATTAGTATAAAGTATGCCAAAGCGATTTAGTGCAGTTTTGCAAGCAAGAGGATTGTGGACGAAATATTAAAAATAAATAATATATTAAATATTGCCAAGTATTGGACGTGGTGCAAAACCGAATCAACCTATTATTATTCCTAAACAACAAGATATTAATTATTGAAAAAATGTCTCATGTTACTTCTAACTGTGATAAAAATAATTATAATGTTTATTTTCTGTTTATACTTCTATATTCCCAGCAATAATCAATAATTTATACAAAATTTGTGGTTATTGGTTCAGTTATGCTCCTTACTGTATTAGCATGTAATTTTATTAACTCTCATTCCCCCGTAATATTTTATTCGTCCCTTGTTTTTTAAACTGAATTTATTTCCGTTCCCGGTATCAAATTGTTATTGTCGCAACAAGAAAGATAAATATCAAGCGTAGAAATTAGTACTACTAGTAGAATCGTCGTGTTTCTAAAATGCATTGTAAATTGTACATTATCAAAATTATTCAAAACACTGTACTCGTTTTAGTTTTCGGAAAAATGTTCAATCAGTAATTTACACGTGTGCACATCGAGGAAGAATAAAAAAAAATTATTCTGTTTGGGAGAAAGTTTATTTGCTAGTTGAAACGAACTGGCGCACGTTCATTTCGAGATAATACCGAGTCAGATAAGATGATTTGTTATTTAAATAATCGTTTTTCTACCTGCCTGATCTCTGGCTTTCTCGCTTTCTTGTGCAGATCTCACCTGAAGTATGATCCACCGAAATTGACTGACAGTTGCAGAATATCGTGTGCCCGCGAGTCGTCAGTGTCTAAAGAGCCGTTTTTCCTCGACGAGGCGAAACATCGTTCAGCTCTAGGTAAATACGAAACGAAAAAACAAAAATTGTTTCCACCTTTCGCTGCTTTGAAAAATAACCCTCGCGATAGTACGACGTTCAGTTCGGCACGATACATCAACCTGTCGATGTTCCTTTCCCTTCTACATCCTAAAAAAAGGAAAGAAAAAAGAAAAAGAAAAAGAGAACAGGTCGAATCTATCGAGTAGAATGAAGCTTCGTGAAGCTGTTCTACAATTTTTCTATGATTTTCCTGATTTTCTACATCGAGATCTTTGAAATTATTACACGGGATATGTCTTGGAAGGAATTTTAATTAACCTCTACTCTATTAAGATTCAAAGGTATTTAACGTCAATATCTTAATGGAGATCTCCGCTCGAAATTTAATTAATCGAGTATTTTGATCGAGGCTTTTTAATTGGAAATAAAAATGATAAGTTTGATGGAAAGATCCAACGACTCAGCGTTTACAATCGAAGTGTAAATCCAAAAAATTATTTCAACAATTCTATTTGAATATTTAAAGGAGACACTTAAAATCAACATTTTTATTACTACGAACTTAACTGCTAATTATCTCATAATCATAATATAGTGTTTGAATTTTAGTCATTCAGAATCTCGATGGATATCAGTTTTCCAAATCGTCCAAATTTTAAAAGTATTCCAACTATTAAATGCCATTAAAAATTTTGATGACTCTCGACATGACTTAAAATTTTGATAAAAACAAATCCAAACTTCCACCCTTGAAAAATCTCCAAAAATTGGCATTATTATCCAAATTTCCAATGAAAAGGAAATCACATTATCGACTTAGTTTCGACGATCGATATGCTCACAATGGAAACTAAACTCAATCGCTTCAAAGTGTCCACACTTCCACGCTTGAAAAATCTCCAGAAACCCGACAATAATAATCGGCATTATTATTCCAAAATCTGGACGAACGTGCAGAAAACGGCCCGATTGTCACCGGTACGTGACTTGTGAAACTTAATTCTTGTCAGGTGCGATCGGTGGGCCGACGAAACCGAAGCTAAAGCCCGGCGAATCGAGGACAACGTTCGCCAACGAGATCGGGCCGAGTGAAGACACATGCGAGTCGAAAGGCTTGCACAGCCAAGCGTCGAACCTGATCAGAACCATCTCCGAGGAGTCGTTGCCTCGCGAGATGCTCGAGGAGCAGGAGCTGGACGATTTCTTCGACGAGAAGCTCGCCAAAGACGTCCACAACAACTTGAAGAAGAGCCTGGACGACTGGAAGACGAAGACACCGCCTCCGAGTCCCGAGCCCAAAGTGAAGCCCGCCAACACGGACTCGGATCATTCGACCTTGTTGAAGGTTCTCAAGGATGAGACTGCGGAGGAGAGTAACCTAAGCTCGATGACTCCGAGTCTGACGGAGTTGGAAGCCGCTCTGTCGGACATGTTGGAGAAGGAAGACTCGCAGGAGGGATCTAAAGACGAAACTAAATCGAGCCTAACGAAGGAACAGCTGATCGCGAAGGAGATAGAACCCGAGACACTGAGCTCAGACGGTCGCGTTGGCAATGAAAATCCAGAAGACGCAGACGAGGTCGCGCATGAAATCCCAACGTCGTTGAAACAGATCCTCGAAGAGAAGAAACTTCCGTCGAGGAAGGTTTCGTTTTGCGCCTGGGAGGAATTCGATCAAGCATCGATCGATCAGGCTGATCGTTCGGTGGACGTGGCGACGAGTGTCCCTCGGTTGGACGAGGATCGAGGAGTGGACAACAAGGGCTTTTCCTTGGACGTTCCGCCGGAGAAGCCGAGCAGGTTGAACAGGAGTCTGGATGATCTCGTGGAGGACGCGAACGTTGTTCCAACGCCCCCTCGAAGGAGGAACAGGAGCCTCTGCGCGGCCAAGAAGGAGCCTGAAGTGGCGCAAAATGGCACCGTCTCCAAGCACCTCTCCAACGACAGACTTATTTAATTGTCCTAAGTGATGATCTCCGAGAGATGTTTCCAGTGGATGTAGTTACACTGTTGGTGGGATGACCGATTTAACGTGGTTGTAGATCGGAGCGTTGAGTGGCCGCGCTGATTTGATGTACACTCCGGGGATCGGATGAAACTGTTGACTTTTGCGAGTAGAAATCCATTTTGTATGAACTTGTTTGTACAGTGTGTTTCACAATCAGTGTCTCAAGGCCGTTGTCCATTTGAGAGTTCATTGCTTCTGGCCCTACTCACTGTGGTGCGGTTTAGTTGGAAACACACGAGTGTGAACGGTGACATCGTTATCATGGAGGTGAAAGAAACGTGTGCCCTCATGGTTGTCCATGATATTTTAAGAAAAAAGAAAACTCAACGTGAAAAGGAGAGTTCAATAATTTAAATTATTATATAATATTTGATGTAATTATGATGTACTACTATTTATATATAACATTTAAATTATTATATAATAGTTGTATTGTATAATATAATTATTATGTAATAATTTAATTATTTATATATAATAATTAAATTATTATATAACAGTTATGTTGTATAATATAATTATTATATAATAATTTAAATTAATAATTATGTAATTATTATAGAATTAAATATAATAAATTAACTAAAATATTTAATTATAATATTATATAATAATTTAAATTAAAAGAAATTAGTTCAGTAATTTCACTTTTTGACCTCACTTTTTTTATTATTCTCTCAGATTGTTGAACGATGCTCTCGGACAGTAACTCTCAGAACTTTTGCGAGAAATATTCTCGCGACAATATTACTCTCCAGTGGACACCTAGCTTCAGGATGTTACGACTGAGCAGTAATAAAAAAACAAGTTGAAAAGAATTTTTTCACTAAAGCCTCACGTGTTTAAAAAAGATTAAGTTTGAAAATTGATCGATGTTATATTATATTATTATTATTAGTATTGTATTGTTATTAATTATACATTGAATTAATACATATATAATATATATTATTAATAATTGAATTATATATTAAATTTATATTATATATTGAATTTATCTAACTCTAGTCGCGACGAAGAAGAACAATTAACAGAAGGTTGCTCCACGTAAAGAACATGGAATAAAATTTTTCTGAATAAATCGAATTTGAAAATTTATCAATGCTAGGACAATTTTCAGCGAGACATGTTAAAAGTCTGTCTCCTTGAAAATAACACCTGAAACTTGAATTAAAATTTTCCTCTACGTTTCTTGCGCATAGAATATCAATTATTCACGCCTGTCACGGAATTGATTTGTATCTTCAAATTCATATTTGATAAATTTTGATAATTTTCAAGCAAGTGCACTTAGTAAATTTTCGACTTTAGTGAAACAATTTCATTCTTTCTTCTTCTCACGTAGAATCACTCGATCCTCTTACTCGATTGCACATGTCCTAAGACACCCACTATAATTTATAATTACAGTTTGTACAGCAGGAGTTCACCTCTCTGTTATTGATTCTTCATTCGCATAATAAGAGTGAATAAGAGTGAAGAAAAGTTCAGGTTCGGACATTGATTAAAATTAAATATTCAAACAAACGAAGCTCTACCGTGAAAGTTGTTTATTGATCTATTGTAACTTTGAAATCACTTCAAGTTTGCGTTGCACACGAATATTTCCTCTTTATTTCAACGATCAAGTTTCAGCAATCGTTTCCCATTCGACTTGGAACTTTTAGATTAAATTCCCGGGGGGATATTTTTTATAAATTAACATTGAAATCAGCAGGAATCTATAGAATTTGTGATCTATATGTACAATTGGTTCAATTTTATACAATTTGTCAATTTTAAGAAGAGCGAAGGCGAGTGAGAAATTGCAGTGACTGAACATCAATGAATATATTATTTCTGTATATTTCTTTGCGCGTGCATATTGTTACAGACACCGAATGGATTTCAACGAAGCGTCGTTGGTCCCCGATCGATATTGATTTAATCCAGTAGTCGGTCTTTCGCGAGATTTTCCAGCGAACGGACCACCAGATAATCACGCAATTTATATGCGTACATATAAAATGTTGATTATATTGATTTTCTGTAAACAAATGAGCCTTCCGCGAATTTCAGAGGGAGCAACGCTCGTAATATGCTGGCTGCGTGTTGCCTTCGTATCTGGAATATTTCTTCTCTTCGCTCGAGAAGACTTCGCTTTTGAAAAATACCGAGCCGAAATCTCGCACTTTGAATTACGCGTAGTCTTACTGAATATTTTGAATTTCAATCGAAATAAAAGCGGTGTTACAGCAGAAATGTAATCAACTTCTCAACAAGTTACGATATTTATGATCATTTCAATAATTGCAAAACAATACTAAAATTATTATAATGAAAATTGTCAGTTTCGATCGTCGCTGGTGATCTTTTTGTTAATTTTTTGCGAATTGAAATTTTATATATATTTTTATATATATTTTATATATATATATAAATATAAATATAAATATTTTATATATATATATAAATATAAATATAAATATTTTATATATA